AGAGAGAGAGAGAGAGAGAGAGAGAGAGAGAGAGAGAGAGAGAGAGAGAGAGACAGAGAGAGAGAAAGAGAGAGAGAGATGGTGTTATAAGTATGAGAATGGAGAAGGCGCCGGTTCGGAGAGGAGGGGTGAGTGAGTTGGGGGAGGAGTGAGATAATGCACCCCTTCATAAAATACCCTGCCCCCCCCCCCCTCTGCGTTTTGTCTCGAAGGTCCAGAATTCAAATGAACTTGTATGGAAATGAGGTTTTGTTTGTAAAAGTTAATATTCTGCACCCCTGGACACACATAGTTATGCTATCAATTGGAACCATACGGTGTGCAGCTTCTACCATACTTTTCGGAAGTGCCGAAAGTTTAGACATACCAATTGTCGTATAACATTGTGAGACACCACAATGTGTCAAGAAAAAGCACACTTGAACTTAAACATCAATTGCGACACTTGTTTTACCAGTGTAGGTTCAATTTGAATTATGGTACATGAGTTAATCGCCAAGAACTAAACGCATCACAGCTCTTGTTCAGTGTAGAGCACAACCAGCACCAGTATGTGTGGGCGTCGCCCCATAATATTTATAGGGTATTACATAGGGTAATTATAGGGTATGACAACGGGTATTTATAGGGTATTTCGAAAACGGACAGGAAGGAAATTAAAAAAAAAGCAGCAAAGCGAAGCTGGAAAGATTAGTATTTTTTTCTCAGAGTCACGCATTCCCTGCTGACGTCGTTTTGTGACTTGTTTGAATCCTCTCTCAGTCCATTTCCCTCGCCATTTCCGATGCAGAGAAATGCCGAATAATTGCACTGGCAGGCGTGCATTTTTAGTCAAACATGGTGTGCGATACCGTCGCATGGACCATTGATTTTTGGGTTACTTTGTGCAAGCAGTGTTCCATTGCACCCATTGCCTTCCTGGAACGTTTGTCTTATTGTCACTAACTTCTTCACTCCAGCCCAGCTTTAAATTCCATTGAGTTCGTGTGCCGTGTGCTGTGGGGTAAATTTTCTCGGCCCGGGATGCTGCGTTTAGCTCTAGTAGTGCAACCAAAAGGCTTCGATATGCAAACACTAAATGTTTTTGGTGTTCAGACAGATTTTTTTTGTCTCAGTGTATAGAAAGTTATACACTTACACACTCCACACACTTAGGCTTCCGTGTGCGCAGCGGTGGGGGTTTACCTTCCTACGCCCGTCGCTATCTCGCTCGGCCCGGGCAGGGCTGGGCCGGGCGGCAGGGGGCGACCGTGTCTCTTTCTTTGCGCGCACAACTCCATCAGTCTTTCCAATCGCTCTTTCCAACGAGCATGGCGGCCAGAGAGACGAGAATGCGCGAAAGTGTGCGTGTGTGTGTATGTGTGTGAGAGAGAGAGACTGTGAGAGAGAGAGAGAGAGAGAGAGAGAGAGAGAGAGAGAGAGAGAGAGAGAGAGAGAGAGAGAGAGAGAGAGAGAGAGCAATGAAAAAAATATATTGTACCCTGCTTGCCGGTATATTAGCCGCCGTTGGGGCTGTCTCCGCTGCCCCACCCTCCTCGTCGGCCTGGTGCTCCGTCCCGGACGCGGCCCCGGTCCACCATCAATCACTGCGCCGGCCCGCGCGCCGCCCGCCTCGCAATCGCGCCATCGCCCCATAACAATCTGATCGCGCCCGCCGCTTTACAGATGGACCCCTTAATCAAATAACGGCCGTGCGCGGCGCGCGCGTTACCTGTGACATCGGCTTTTCCGGAAAAAAAGATTTTTCGGCCTAGAGTTGAAAATTTTCCGAAAATTTCCGGAAAATTTCAGGAAAATTTTCGAAAGTCCTAAGTCAGGGAAATTTCCATTTTTCTTTCCCGAAATTTTCCGTTTCTTCCTAAAATTTTCCAGAAAT